ACTAAATATGTTTTTTTCACTTTGAGACTACCTGGTCACTCCCAAGGATCCCTTATAATCACAGTTATAGTTTTGAAATGTTATTTAATTATAACTTTATTATGTTATATTGATATCTGATAATTTCAATACCAGAGGCCTTTGTTGGCCTGATTCTGTTCATCTGTTACTTGTAATCATTTATTTTGTCTTGCTCTCAGTGATTTTTTTTAATTTATTTTTTATTTTTTTATTTAGGTGGTTCAAGACTCCCTAGATGATGAAAATTTTTGAAGTCTGAGTTGGAGGTTTTGCTTTTTTCCCTTCCCTAAGATGCTTTGAGTTCATTTCTACAAGGTGTGTAGAGACAAGGGAAACAAATTTTTAGCTTGAGATCTTTCAAGTGAAATGACAGTGTGATTGGAGCCAGAATTTCTTAAGCCAGAGTTTAAATTTGGCTGAGATAGTTCCCTAGAGGTCTCTACCCTGTGTTAAGATTAAGAGCAATGCATAAAATGTGTGTGTGTGTGTGTGTGTGTGTGTGTGTGTGTGTGTTTTCCTAGTTCATTCTTCTACTGTGTGTTTAGAGATTTGGGGATGGGCCACAGCCTTATGCACAAAGCTCCTATCGTGCCTTGTAAACCTTTTCTACTTTGTCGTGGACAGACACTTTCATAAAGTGTAATTGAGATGAATTACTTTCAACACAGAACTCCAGCGGGGAGTCACCTCGGAAGTTTCTCCGTGCTCCATTTCTATGAATATCTCTGGGCCAGCACTGGAGTGTGCGGACTGATCTGAAAAGCCACACTGAGCAGCTCGGCTCTATCATCCTTCCCATCTGGGGCCTGGGCGTTATCTCCTGTCCCAGAGCCCATGAGCCATCAAAGAGGAAATCCGAGGACTACTGAAAAGGGCAGATGTATTGAAGTGCTGGGTGGGCCAGACGCTCTGTTTTCTGGGGATCCCTGGTTTTACTTCACGTTTAACATATTAAGGACTTCTCTTTATTTTCCACCAGCTCTGCTGAACTAGTGTATTGAAACAGGTTTCTTTCCCAACAGTTAACTCTCTCTCTGTCTGGAATGTGTGTGTGTGTGTGTGTGTGTGTGTGTGTATGTATATACATTGTCACCAGAAGATTATGCAAGAGTATTTTAAACCACAGTATTATAACTGAACAATAGCCAAAACTTAGGCATATTTCTAAAATTGAAATAATTCAAAGCCATATTAATAATGAATGCTGATTTTTGTCTATGATGTATACTCATAAAAGCGAATAGTCCTTTACCACACACAACAACATGGATATTCTCACAGCCATGATCTTTGAGCCAGAGGAGCCAGATATAAAATCAGACACAATGTATAATTCCATTTACATGAAGTTTAAAAACAGGCAAAAGGAAAACAAAAAATAAAAAAGGTCACTGAGAGCACCCTGCTGGAAGACCATGCTTTGGGGAAAAGCGGTTGTTCTTAGGGCTGTGGAGACTTCTGCCCGATGTGTGTGGGTGCAGCTTGCCCAGAGCTGTAAAAATCAGAACAATTATTTACTTCATGAGCATGGGCGTCTTGTCTGTGTCTATGTCTGTGCAGCATGTGCGTGCCCTGGCGCCTGCAGAGGCAAGAGGAGGGCGGCACATCTCCTGGGGCTTGAGTTTCAGCCAGATGTGAGCATCGTGTGGGTGCCAGGAACTGAACTCCGGTTCACCTGGAACAGCAGCCAGTGCTCCCAACCACTGAGCCGTCTCCCCAGCTCAAATGAGTAGGTCACATTTTATACTTACGTTCCTTTTACACGTCACTGATATGTTTGTTTTACACTTTATTCATGTTTAAAACAAACAAACAAGCAAAACACTTAAGAAGTAGCTTCCCCGACTGCCACAATTTACCATGGGTAAAAGCATGACCTTAATCACATCTGTTCCCTTTTTCTCCATCACCCAGTCTGTTGCCCAGACCCATAGGTGCAGGTCCTGATACGTCTCAGCTTCGCTCCCCTCATCTCTTCGAATCACTAGCTCTCACCCTGGTTACAGTCTAGCCCTTCCCTGATATCTACTTTCACTGCTGTATAACGAGGTTGTTTTTTTAGGTGCATACATATGACTACAATAGATACTGGCTTACCATGGCTTTCTGGCCTTACCATTGTTTTCAGAATAAAGACCACAATCTCCTCTGAGAGACAAAGTCGTTCAGGATTGGCCGGTGCCTGCACTAGTAGCTCCATCTGCCTGGCCTGTTTGTCTGTCAGTCAGGAGCTCTCATTTTCCCTTCCACTGACTGAGATTCTTTCCCACACAAAGATTCTTTGGCCTGAGAAATATTTTCTTACTTATTAAGTCAGCTCCTCGTAGATCTTATTGTCAGCTCTGTCCTCAGTTAATCCAATGCTGCCCTCTTTTTTTTTCCTGCCACTTTTTACTTCCCAAGAGCACGGATCAGTTTTGTGAGTCTACAATTGATCACAGTAATTGGTATCTGTCTCTCCCACTGAAAGATAACTTCCACAGGGCAAGAACTGAATTTCCCCTGAGCCTAACATAAGGGTTTTGCAAACCATAGTTGTTTATCATGCGTTAAACTAATGAATGAGTTAATGTTCTTTTATAGCATGTAGAAACTGTGCTGCATATTAGATTAGGTAATTATATATATGCATATATGTATATAATATATATGTATATATGTATATAATTACCCAATCTAATATGTATATATTATATATAATATATTATATATGTATGCATATAATTAAAAACTGGTGAGCGGCCAGAACCCTAACTTTTGGCATCCAGCACGTCACTTAGCCCATTCTGATCACATCACCCCTGACCCTGGGTCTCCCCATCACTGAATATGTGTTCTGAATCTGCTGCTTCAGCCCTCAGCATCCTTCCTGTTTCTTTCTGCCTTTTCTGAGCCTTGAATGTGCAAGCATTGTGCTGCTTCGGGGCCTTTGGACTCTGGTTTCCTGGCCGCACCATTATTCCCACATGCCCACGTGCTCACGCGGCCGTGCACATCAAAAAGTTGCAGTTCCCCCTTCGCTCTTTCAAAGCTTTCCTTGGCCCCTCAGTGAAGAGCAACTTCTTTGCCCTACAAAGTAACCATTTCTGTTTTGCTCTTGCACAGCATTTACACTGGTCTGTACCCTCTCTCCCAGCGTGAGATTCTGAGTCCCACGTGGCCCAGCACAGAACTAGTTTTGTCTGCTGCTCTGAACATGGCGTCTAGTACTTTGATAGGAAGGAGGCACCTGGCCAGTCTAGCTGGGTGGCTGGATGAACATTCACTCTCCTCTTCTGCATGTGACAGTGCAGTCTGCTGGCCTGCACTAACCCAATACCTGCTAGCCACAGGTAGCTGTGGTTGGGATGACTGAAGAATTCAAGTCGTCATTTAAACAGCTGCTGTGGCTAAGCTCTGCCATGAGGGCTGCAGCAGCTATACCGAACCTCATCTGGAGGAAGGTCTGATCAGAGGCCTGCCCGAAATAGGTGGTGGCCCTGTGGCAGACCAGGAACCTTTCGGGCCAGCCTTCCTCTGACTTGGGGCAAGCTTTTAACAATTCTGATTTTCTCTTGTGAAAAGGAGAGGAGAGTGTTTTGCTTCTTCTGGTGGTGGTGGTGTTAGGATTACACGAGGCTAAGGATCTATAGGCCTGTAGCTTGGATGACACTGAGCTCCATGTCAATAATATTAGTCGCGTGTATGAATATGTGTGTTTTATATGTAGCCGGTTGAACTTTGGGAGGATTTGAAGTAATGGAGACCAACAAGCAGTTAGGCCCTTCCTATCTGCTGAAACTATGCTTTGGGGAAAGGAAAAAAAAAAGAAATCTTTTGCAATGAAATGGTCACAGAGGTTCCCCCTTTGGATCCTGCCTTCCGACACCCCTCTCGCAAACTTAGGCAAAGACTACTCTTTCCGATATTACCATTTCTGGGTTTCTTTACCAGCAGGCTTGCATATCCCGGCCTGGGAGGGTAGAGAAAAGCATTGAAACCCGGCAGCCCTGTTCCCTGGGTGCCGCAGGGCTCCTGCCAGCCGTACTGGTTTTTAAAAAAAAAAAAAAAAAAAAAAAAAAAAAACAAAAAAACAACGTGCTTTTGGATGATTTCACTTCCCCGCAGTCCTGCGAGCGGTGGCTCATTACCGCCCGCCTCATCGGCGCTGCCAGCCACTCCTCTGCACGCCTTCCCCTCCCCCACCGCAGGGACAGCGGTCATTCTCGGCACTTAAAAGAAATAAACTCGGACTTCAAAATTCACTGCCCCCGTACCCACCCCAGGAGTCTAAACAGCCACGCGTAACGGCAGAGTCCAGAAAAGCGCGCCTGACGGGTGTCCCCCTTCCACAGTCCCCACGGCCGAGCAGCCCGACCATCGGGCCCCGCGCCACTCCGGGTGGCGATCCCACTGTCACCCAACCTCCCTCTCAGCCCGGCTGCCCAGGAGGCCCCGGGCAGGGGGGCGGCGGCGGCGGGGCCAGGAGGCCCGGCTGGGCAGGGCGCGCGGGGCACCGTCGCGGCGCGGAAGACGAGCGCCGGCCTGGGGGGGCTGCGGGGCTGCGGGGCGCAGCCGGCGCAGACAAAGAACGGCGCGCGCCGGTCCCCGCCGCCCTCGGCCTCCCCGGCGCATCGTCCTCGCCAGCCCGGGGGACGGGGGTGGGGGTGGGGGCACCGCCGTCCCCGGGGCCGCCCGTCGGTCCGCGGCCGCTCGGCGCCCTAGCAGCGCGGCGGCCGGGCAGCCCCGGCCTCCCCGGGCCGTGCGGGGCGTGGGCGGGAGACGCGTGTGCGCCGCGCGCAGCCCGAGGTGCGCACGGAGCCCGAGGGGCGGGGACGGGCGCGGGGGCGGGGGCGCGGCCGGGACACGTGTGGCGCCGGCGGCGGGGGGAGGGAGAGGGGGACGAGGAGGGGGGAGGGAGGAGGGGGCGGCGCCCGGGGCTTTAAGAAGGTGTGGAGGGGGCGGGCGCTTTCCCAGGCCCGGCAGAGGGGCGTCGCGGACACACGGGCGGCGGCGCTGTGGGAGACCCGGCGGGGTGTCCCTGTTCCCCCCCCTCCCCGTCGCTGTCGCTCCCGCGGCTCAAAGTAACTTCGGGAGCCGAGGTCCGTCCTCTCCCCCCCACCCCTCCGCCAACTTCCCCGCGGGCTCGGCCGCCGGGAGGAGCCGCTCGGCTCGGGCCCGCCACCGGCTCGCCTCCCCTGCGCGCGGCTCGTCGCCCGCGGGTGGCTCCAAAACTGAATGAGAGAGCGCGCGGGGCGCGCGGCGACACGGAGCGCGGCGGCATGGAGCGCGGCCGCTGGGCACCGCGGACCCTCGTCCTGGCCGGGCTGCTGCTGGCGGCGCTGAGGGCGCGCGCGGCCGCGGGCTACTACCCGCGCTTCTCGCCCTTCTTCTTCCTGTGCACCCACCACGGGGAGCTGGAAGGGGACGGGGAGCAGGGCGAGGTGCTCATTTCCCTGCACCTTGCGGGCAACCCCACCTACTACGTACCGGGACAGGAATACCACGGTAGGTACCGCGGCATCCCTGCGCGCCGCGGTGGTCCGCGAGCGCGGCTTGCCATCCTCCTCCTCCTTCTTCCCAGGGGCCGTCCGGATGGGGGACCCGGACAGCCTCCTGCCTCCGCGGGGTGCGCTGCCCCGGGGAGAGGGCGCAAAGTTAGTGGAGACTGGAGTCCCGAGTTGGGATTTCAGCGGTCCCCTACGACGTCTCGGAATGAACCGGTGCCTGTGTGACGCGCCGGGCAGAGCCCTGGGCACCGTCCGCGCCCCCCCCCCGTCCCCCACCCCCCCACGCAGCCGGCAAACCTGCGCATCGTGGTTTCATAACCCCGGTACTTAGCGGATTTCTGTCCCGGTTCCGGGTCCCCCCTGGTGGGTCCCCAGTGGGCTTGTCACTGGGCTCTGCAGGCCAGCTGCCCGCAGACTGGAGCGCTTTGGTCGGGGGGCTTGCCCGCGCCGCCGGCCGGCTAAAAGTTCCCGCAGCTCGGCCGCCCGGAGTCCTCCCGCGATTTAGCGAGCTTCAGGCAACCCCCGAGAAGCAGAGCGGCTGCTTGCTTTCAGCCCTTTATTCTTCTGCAGGGTCGTTTGAAATATCAGTAACTGATATTGTCTGGGCGACGCTTTACCAGTGACTTGTGTCTACACAGCCTTAATTCCCTGGAAGGGGCTGCAAGCCACTCACCCAAAGCGGAACCCTCTCCAAAAGGATCGTTATGCAGTCCTCCACTGAGCTTAAAAAAAAAAAAAATTAGCTGCGGGAAGAGTAATGTAATGTCGTACCTATATTTTTAAATCGACTGGAATTTGTGGGGGAAAAAAAAAGAAGTTTACTTTTTGTTTTCGTACTGGGACTTCTTAAATAATGATACACACTGTTAAACTGGGAAAGATCTCCCCAAGAGGTTTATACCTGAGGAGGCAGGCACTGTCGTTGAGTGAACTCTGCCACCCGCAGATGCTGTCTACCACAGGCTACAGGTGTTGACAGAGCAGGTCATGTGTGCCTGGCTGGCTCAGCACATTGATTTGCATGTGAAAAATTTACAGGAACACTTGAGTTTTCTGTCAACAAATCCTTCCCTTCTGCCCCCAAATACTTCCTCTGAAGACGTTCATCCTAGATGTTTAAAGCGGTGCTTTAACAACTTTCTTATGGTGTGGTGGCAGCCTTGTCTGTGGAATTGTATAATTAATTTTAGAAAATTAATTTCTATAACTAGCCTCTTTAGTAAAGGGGCTTCTGTGTGCTCCCTTTCTGAGAATTATCTGGTGATCTTTCTGAGATCGCGGAAATCTTTGAAGTGGAAGGAGCAGCCCGCATGATGATAGCCCAGAGCTAACCCCCAGATGGACGGAGACTTGTCTGTTGGTGTGCCCTTAACCGGTTAGCTGTGCCTGTGGTGGGTCGCTGAAGGCAGGCTGGTCTACAAGGTGCCTCTGTCAAGCTGTGAAGAAAGCCTCTGGTGACAAAGAGACTCTCCCTACCGCACAGATCCTTTGTACAGAACCAGTCCAGAAAGCATAAATAAGACTTATGTCTTCTGTGGCTTTTGTTTTTGCTGTAACGTTAGCAGGTGGACCTAATCCTGACTGTAATCACATCACGGAACCTGAAAAGGGTAGAATGTGTTACTTCATGTTGGACATTGTAGGAACAGGTCCCTAGTACCTCTTTTATGCCACCAGAAAAGGTGGAGAGATTTTATTATGTAACTTGAAAGGTCATTATTAGAGAGGGTAATGTCATTTTAAATTCCCGTTAAATAACTGTATCCAAGTTTTAGATCTGGGAACTAGCTACATAACTCCAGGCCTGCAGTAAGTGTTTTTCCTGTGAAATGCTCTACAGGTAGGAGAAATGCTTAATACTGAAGTAATACTTATATATGGCTTTTAAATTTTAAACTTTTGGAAATGGAAAAAAATAGCATCTGTAAAGAATTGACTCACTATAGGAAAACAATATGTTTGCGTTTGACCCGTTTTGATGCACACTGAAAGCAGGTCATTTGGCCAAAAGCTTGCTTAGGCCAGGAAAGCTGTAAAATGTTGGCTGGAGAATTTCTTTCTAACCTTCTAAATCTTTTAAATGCAGCACTTATGTCAGGAAAAAAATGAGTTTGTCTTGGATTTCCACAGAGCCCAGGGATCTGGATGAATGGCATTTGGGTGGAGAGCTGGTAGTTTTTGAGTTTTCCTCCTAAAGCCTGCATTGAGACAGAGCTGGAGTGTAGAACAGGGCCCGTGATAGACCGTTAATGGAGATGTCAGCTGCTGTCCGAGGCTTGGGCTGTGTGACGTATATAATAAAAGTGGTCCAAAATAATGCATTCTTGCCTGAGTTATATTTATTTAAAGGTTTTATGTTGGTTTGAAACAAAGGCAGTAATAGATACTACAGCATTTGAATCAGAATTGTCAAGATTTATAACATTTAAGTAGTAAGTGTTTACTTCTAGCAGCAGCTTATTTAATGAGCTGCTACCTTATAACAAAAAGGTATCTCCTTCCTGTATATTTTAAAATTCCGTTATACGAGACTCTTTATGGCACTGTTAGTCATAGACAAACTGTGATCTCGTCTCACAAATACACCACAATACACGGTTCAGCCAAAAGGTACCACACACTTCACGTTGAATTTGAAAGGTCTCAGAATTAGAATGCTTTTGTTGTCTAGAATTTCTTTTTGCAGGGAATACAAGTCTGAAAATATGCTCAACTTCCCAATGGGATTTCCATACTTCAAATCTGCAAATTTTTTGTTGTTTTTGCTGTTGCTGAAATTTCCTCATGATTGGAAAGAAAATGGGAGTCTAGGTGGTCAGTCATGTAGCCCTTTCTCTTCCCTGCCACGCCCAGTGATGCTCTGTTTCTTCTAGGGACCAGCTCAGTTCTGAGAGATGTGTGAAGGCTGAGTTGAATTCTACACCCTTCTCTCCTGTGGTAATACCTCTTCCTCACACACATAATTATGCATAATTATTATGTGTTTGCAACTCCTCTTCCTGTCATCCATTCAATTAACAGATTATTGTGAATGCTAAATTCTTCCAGCTTTACTTAAAACTTCAGAAAGATAATTTTTCCCCCCTTTTTGCTTAGGAGAGCTAATATCTCTGGGTAACAGATGATAGGCTTTGGGACAGAAAGCCTTTTAAACACCTGTGAGTTCATGTCATCTAAGATCCTGCCCACTGTATAACTGGCTTTACTCAGTCACTACTGTGAAGAAGAGGCCAGGCAATCTACATGAGTCTGCCCCAGTAGATCAGCTTTCAGAAGGCAATTTACCATGATATGTGAAGAGAACAGAATCCCTGTTATTTTGGTGGCAGAAAGCAGAGGAAGTATTCCATTAGCCATGAGGAACAGGCTCAGAAATACTGACTGAAGGAGGAACAATAATAACTTCCAGTAGAATCAAATTGGTGATGAGATAGAAAGGGGGAATTTTATTGCATTTTGCTGATCCAGCATCACTACAGTCGTTTCTTGACTCCACATTTTTACTCCATCATTTTTCACAAGTGATATGATAGGGGGACTGCAGGAGAATCAATTTCCTAATGCATAAACAGACCATTTAGTGTTTAAAAGGATAGAGTACCAAGGCTACCTTGTTGCAATAATTAAAGTTACTATTTTTGTGAGTGTAAGTGCTTGCCATTCAACTGGTTGCTTTTTAAAAACTTCTGTTCAGAGAAAGCACAATGCGGTGGCCTTTCAAATACAGAAATACAATCATCAGACATATTTAGAAAATACACCACAAGCTTAATTCCTTTTAAGGGAACGGTTTTATTATTTGAATGAAAGTAATTTGCAGTTGCTAACATAACTTGTTAATTGGTGCATGGCTATTTTTCCTTATTGTGTTATAGAGTCTGGAATCAGCATATTTAAACTGTTAAACTCATGCATCATATGAATTTCTAAGTGAAATGCACCTGTGTCCTGCACACATATGTTTGTGCAAATTGGGTGTTTTAAGGCTTTCTGCTCCGCTTGTTACATATTTTATCTTACACTCTACAGTGTATCCCAAATTTTTTACTCATGTGATTCATATTTTTTTGGTAATCATATAAACCTTTCTTTGTGTGATTTATATTCTGTGTATTTTAATTCCAATCTTAAGCTAAAAAAAATCCAGGTATTTGGAAAGATAGTCTAAAACATCTCATTTGGGCAGAACTTTGGTTCATTTCATAGCACCTTAGTTCTAGAAATTATTTACTTAGAACAACTATTTTCATTTTTTTGTGAACGCTTATTTTGAATGACTGCTTTATTTAGGTGTTGAAAAATATAGTTGTACCTCTATAGTCACGAACTGCCTTACTCCCATAAAATTTTCTTTTTATCTTTAAAAGAATGGTGGATATTTTTAACAGATTTCTAAAATAACTATTAGTGGGCTCCAAAGTTTTCAACTACTGATTTAGTTAAAACAGTTAAGAGGGAATCTTATTTCTTTTCACGCTCTTGAGTTAGGCCAACTTCAGAGGATCATCTGTAGGCCTCATCGGCTACTTGGGAACGATGGCACATTAGGTCACAATTTTATCCCGATAATCTGCAACGCGATGGTACTTCACCCATTACGTCTTTAATCTTCCCAAGCAGCTACTGAGGTACAGCCCTCTACTTCAGAGAAGCCTCACATCTGAAAATCAAGAATTGGCTGACCAGGACTCGGTGAACATTTGGAACTTAAAAGATTTGTAACATGTCTCGTAGAATCTTGTAAAATTGGGCTTCTGTCCACTCTCAGGAAAAAGAAGAGGGGTGCAGTGAGACTGAGTATGGTGAGGTCACCTTGAGCAGCAGGGAAGGCTAAGGTGCACATCACAATACTGACATAAAGCATACAAAAAAGGAAATGAGTTTGTCAAAACTTTAAGTGGAGAAACTAATCCACCACCACCTGATTTTAGAGTCATTGATGAACTGACAGAACTTAACTACAATTTCAAACCAAAATATAGTTTCAGTCTCATCCAT